CAAAAAAAAAAAAAAAAAGGTCTCTCAGGCGAGATGAGGTGAATAGGGAGGGTAGGGCAGGGGTCGTGCCAGTGTTGGTCAGTATGGTGCGGGCAGGTGTGTTGTCATGGGGGAAGAACCGGTCACCTGTTTGCCATGACTCAGGACATTTCTTCCACCCGTTATGACACAACCTTCGCAAAACTGCCAGGTAAAACCCAGCGGGTTCCTAAGAACACTTATTTGGGGGGCAAGCTTGTGCTACAAGGGCCTGCCCTCTGAAAGATCACTCCTGTTTTTGGAGACCCCCCTCGTGTGTCTCTAGCCAGCTCTCTGAGGGGTCTCAGCACGTCTCCCACTTTTCAGATGAGGAGACAAAGGCTCTCCTCGCTTCTTCACAAGGACATTTCACGTTATTCTAATGACCCTGCTTCAAGAGCCTGGGGCCCACTCCAGCTGTCCCTGGGGCACCTCTCCTCACAGTGGCAGTGGGCGCCTTCCTCTGTGAGTCCAGCCTCAACCCTCCAGTTCCCCCAAGCTGGACAGTGGGGTGAAGTCAGCTCCCCCAGCGGTGGGGGCACCGGAGTGCCGTTCTCACCTGCAGTTGCTGTGCCCTTGGGGTCACAGAGGGGAGGCCAGGAAGAGCCAGAGAGGATGGACTTGAGGCTGGGAGGCAGCTCCCAGGGGCAAGGGCTGAGGGGCTCTGATTCCAAGTCCCAGAGCCCTAGAAGCCCCTCCTGGCTGGCCTCCCTGAACTCCTGGCAAGCCCGAGCAGCGGCAGGCCCTTGGGCTGGGCTGGATGCGGGAGGGTCCTTGTACCCAGAAGGTGTTCGGATTAACGTTGAACCGCTGTGGGATTCATTTGGGAGAAGTCTTGCATGCATGGGAACAGCAGAAAGGGCCAGAGCCAGGCGGTGGTGTCCGACTCAAACAGACCGAAAAGAGGCAGCAAGTCTCATAGCCAAATGGGCCCTGGGACTGGGAGGTGGGAGTTTGGCTTCGGCTGGCCCTGCCTCCAGGGATGCTGTGTATCTCTGGTCCTTCGTTTTCTATAAAACCAGAGGGTTGTCATCGATTTTCTCTAAGGTAGTTCTGATTGGTGTATCAGAATATTTGGGAAGGTGGGGTGTGGAGGCTCATGCCTGTAATTCCGGCACTTTGGGAGGCCGAGGAGAGAGGATCACTTGAGGCCAGGTTTGAGACCAACCTGGACAGCATAGTGAGACCCATCTGTATAATAAAAACAACAACACCAACAAAAAAAGCATTTAAGAATATTTGGGCTTGGTGACTCAGCCTGTCATCCCAGCACTTTGGGAGGTCGAGGCGAGTGGACTGCCTGAGCCCGCGTGTTCGAGACTCACCTGGGCAACTTGGTGAGACCTTGTCTCCACAATTAAAGAAAACTAGCCAGGCGTGATAGTGCGCGCCTGTAGCTCCAGCTACTTGGGAGGCTGAGGCGGAAGGATTGCTGGAGCCCAGCAGGTCAAGGCTGGGGTGGCCGTGAGCGTGCCACTGCACTCCAGCCTGGGTGACGGAGTGAGACTCTGACTAAAAAAAAAAAATATATATATATATATATATATGGGAAAAGGGCACTGGAAATGTACTTGTAATCGCTGACAGCAATGTCTTTATTTCCAAAGCCCTCCACAGGCATGGTGTGGTGGATCCTCAGGGCATCACTCTGCAGACATTCTTACCTCCGTGTGATGGAGGAGGAACCAACCAGGGCTCAGCAGGGAGGTTGCCTGATCGCTCAGGGTTGGCGGCATAGCCAGGACCGGCTGGGGGACCTGTCGGGCAGTGACTGGATGAGAACTAGAATGGGGGCATGGGGGTGACCAGGGCCCCCGTCTGGCCACAAAGGAGGGTTAGGACTTACTCTGAGGTTTGGGTCGGACAGGTGGCTTCCCAAGGAAGTGGGGAATTAGGGGCGAGAGGAGAACTCTGGGTAAAGGGGAGGGGTACACTGAGTACTATGTGTCAGACACTCATCTGTCGTGTCTCAACGAATTTTTACAGGAACCCAATGAGACATGCGACCTCTGTTTCTTCCAGTTGGAAAACAGGCTCGGAGGGATGAGGCTATGTGTCCGAGACCCCCAAATGGGGCGGATTCTGAACTGGAACCCAGTTAATTTGACTCCAGACCCCCAGGTCTTTTCACGGCTGTTCCGTTTGGGAAAGGCCAGTGACGGGCGAGGGGGCTCGCTGCGCCTTGCTGTCTGCTTGGGAGCGGTCGGACTGGTGGGTTAGGGCAGAGGCAGAAGGATCTGGGACTCCTGTGCCTCTCTGGCGAGGCTACAAAGAGTTAAGGCGCATGGGTCCCCTCCTCCGCCCTCCTCCTCCTCGGGCTCTTCCTGTCCTGCTCTTGCAACATCGCCTCTGCCACTCTCTTCCCCTCCCACCTCCTCTCTCCTCTCTGCTTGAATTTTCTCCGAGTTCTCCGGACTCAGGCTCTAGCTCCGGCCTTTGGGGGTTGAGGTGACGGACACGAGCCCCACCTCCCCCCACCCCAGAGTTTCGGCTGTCCACTCCCCACCCAAGGCACCCGGGACCTCCTGGAAGCACCCGCACGGCCGGGACGCCGCTGCCGCCTCTGCCGCGGCCGCCACTGCCGCCTCTGCCGCGGCCGCCACTGCCCTGAGCCCAGATGGGGGAGTGAGAGGCCGCCGCTGGCCGGACATGGGCCTCCCCACCGTGCCTGACCTGCTGCTGCCACTGGTGAGACCCAGGGAAAGGGAAGAGCCGGCTGGTGGGGGAGGCGCCGCCCGGGGTGGCCGCCTCACAGAGAGTTGAGCCTCTCCTGCCTGGGCCTGGCCCTGGGCCACCCACCCTGGGCCTCACTTCTGCCACTGCCAGCGCGGGGTTCCCCATTCATGCGTCTCTGGAGAGGGCTGAACTGAGGCGGGGGAAAGAGGGAGATCTGAGAGAGAGAGCGCCAAGGGAGCCCGGCTCCTGCCGGCCATGGAGGTTTGCAGGGGCCAGGAGGTGCCTGGAAGTGGGGAGCAGGTAATAGGCCTGGGGGGGGCGGCTTGGCGGGGAAGGAAAAGGAGAGGGGGAAGGAAGGCCAGACCTCTCTGAGAAGCCCAGAGGATTCCGAATTCTGCCCCTCTGGGCAGCCTGGAGTGGGCCAGGCTGTAGGGAGGAGAGGCTGCCGGTGGACCCGTCTGAGCAAACACTATGGGGCAGAGGTTGGATGGCTGGTGACTGGGGAAACAGTCAAGAGAGTGGATGGGTTTGTGGGGGGTTGGCATGTTGCATGGAGGCCAAGCGTGTCCGGGAGTGGACTGGGGCAGGGCAACCAAGTGGACAGCGTCCCCAGGGCCCCGGCCAGGCCCAGGCCTCCCGCCTGGGGGCATTCTTCACCCTTCGGCCTTGGCTCCGTGCTTGGGCCGGTGGCCTCCGTGGGACGGACCCTTCCTGGGGAGCTAGACTACGCCCTCAGCGCCCCTCTGCCTGTCCTCCAGCCCCCTCCCCGCGGACCTCAACCACGATCCCTTGGTTTCTTACTTGACAGCTCAGTTTGGGGAAGTTGGTAGAAAATTGTTTTCATCACTGGAAAATGTTCCTTTCTCTGGCCCCAGCCTTGCTTCAGTGTGACCATGATCTTCCTCTGCGTCCTGGTGCTGGAATCCTCCCCCCAGACGCCCTGAGCCCCTGGAGTTGGGCCCCCTGCCCGCCTTGGCTGGTCTCTCCCGCACCTCCTTCCCTTCTCCGTGTCTCACTGTTCCCCTCCCGGCTGTCTCCCCAGACATCTTTCTTCCCAGCGGTCTCCCCAGACATCTCAGAGTCTCATTTGGAAACCCTTTCTCTCTAGTCCCTTGTGCCCCCTCTCTCCACAGGTCCAGTCCCACATTTCTGGCCCCCGAGTCCCCAGGTAGCACCGGTCTGTCACAGTCTCACTTTTGTTTGCCGTGCCCAATCCCCCAGTCCCACCCCCTCGTCCCTTCTTATGACCGGCCTCTCCTCAGCCCTCTCTACCTGTCAGCTGCCCTTCTGTTCCCCCTCTTGGGTTTGATCACCTGGAATCAAGCCCTGGCTTCCGCAAGTGGTGGCTGTGAACATGAGCAGGTTATAGAACCCTCCGCGCCTTTGTTCTTTCTCTCTAAAGTGGATTTCATGGTCATAGCCTTGTAATGTCATTTTTGAAGATTAACGACATTGATGTGTGTTAAGTGTTCATTCAATATATTACATGGAACTCTGGACTAGATTCTGTGTTACCGTGCTGGGATTACAGCAGTGAACAAAATCCCTGCTCATAAAGTTTACAGTCCAGTAGTTAATTAAGAAAGCCCTCTGGGTTTTTTTTTTTTGAGTTGGAGTCTCAGTCTGTCACCCAGGCTGGAGTGCAGTGGTACAATCACGGATCACCGCAGCCTCAACCTCCTGGGCTTGGGTGATCTTTCTGCCTCAGCCTCCCAACTAGCTGGGGCCAGGTGCATACCACCATGCCGTGCTAATTTTTTTGCAGAGAGAAGATCTTGCTATGTTGCCCAAGCTGGTCTCGAACTCATGGGCTCAAGCAGTCCTCCTGCCTTGGCCTCCCAAAGTGCTGGAATTACAGCTGTGAGCTACTGCACCTGGTCAGCTTTCATATTGTTATCAGTAGTAGTATTAGTAGTAATTATTGGGTGGGCACTCGCATTTTGAAAACAGAAGGCAAAGGTAGCTTGAACAGGGGAAGGAAACTTTGTGGGGACTGGAGTCCTTGTTCCGGGGTGGGGGTCTGGTCCCCTGGGGACAGCTCAAGCCTATCCTGGAGCTGGGGGGAACAGGAACATCGGGGGCATGAGTGGTCTGGTTAAGCCTGTCCATGAGCTCTTCAATTTCTCACCGTTCAGTGGGCAACACGGAGCGCAGTGTGTGTGTGTGTGTGTGTGTGTGTGTGTGTGTGTGTGTGTGGTGTGTGTGGCGAGGAGGGGACTAGGGAAGAATGATCCAGGATTTCGCTGTTCTCAAAGAGCTTACAGTCTAGGAGCCAAGACAGCACACAGAGAAAAATGATTCCAGAACAATCCAGAGGAAATAATCTGCAAATGCATTGTGATGCAGTGTCCTGGACACCCGTGGGAGACAGGACCGGGGAGGGGGCTGAGCCCTGGGGTAGCTACCTGGTCTTGCTGAGCAGATTTCATTTCCTGTGCTCAGGTCCAGGAAATCCAGGGGCGACCCTTCCTGACTCAGGTGTCCTTGACCGTGTACCTGGTGCACGCCCTGCAGAGACCTTAGGGCCTGCAGTTGGCCATCTTGGGCCCAACCAAGAGCTCTCGAGAGCAAAAGCTGTGTTACCCATCTCTGCGTCCCCAGTACCATGTGCGACCTGGCCCATAGGCTGCATCCCCCGACTACTTGTTGAATGAATGAAGGAACAAGGGATTGGTCAGATGGGAGGAGGGAGAGAAAGCCTCATAGAAAAGTGGACTTGAGGCTGGGCTCGGCAGCTCAGCCTGTCATCCCAGCACTTTGGGAGGCCGAGGCCAGTGGACTGCCTGAGCCCGCGGGTTCGAGACCGGGCAACTTGGTGAAACCTTGTCTCTACAATAGATACAAAATTAGCCGGGTGCATTAGCGCGTGCCTGTAGTTCCAGCTACCTGGAAGACTGAGGCGGAAGGATTGCCAGAGCCCAGCAGGTCGACACTGGAGTGGCCATGAGTGTGCCACGGCACTCCAGCCTGGGCGACGGAGTGAGACTCCCACTTAAACAAAAAGCAAAGAAAGTGGACTTGGAGCTGACCTCTGAAGTCACTGCCTGGCAGGGGAGCTGAGGAGGAGGGAGGCAGAAGAGTCAGGAGGCTGGTTTGAGGGAGGGGAGCGGAATGGGAGCCGGGATTTTGTGTTGACAGGTGGGGGGGCAGAAAGCGGACTACCTTGGCTGGAGTGGAAGGACCACGCTGAGGACACTCAGCGTGAAGATGGAAAGGCTGCAGGGGAGTCGGGAAGGGGATGGAGAAAGAGTCTTGAACATGGTCCCAGATGGAGGAATTCATTCACTCATTCGGGACGATTCTCGGAGGGCCACTCTGTGCTGGACTCTGTCCAGAATAGAAGGGGGGTGTCCCTGTACATGTTCATTCAGGTCCTTCTCGGGACCCATGGAAGTGGTGTTTGAAGTTAGGCCCTGGAGGGAAGCGGAAGGTTCACACACCCTGGGTGCAAGTCAAGCCCCCGCAGATAAGGAGGGAGGGGAGCAGGAAAGAGGCTGGAAGGGCAGTGGCTGCAACGCAGGTGTGAGGCGACCCAGGCCAGGGGGAGCAGCGAGAGAGCGCGGGGGCTGGGCTGCAAAGCAAGCTCACATACGGGATGGCAGCAGGGGTGGGCACAGCAGGAGAGAGGGTGGTGGTCTTGGCGTGGGTGGTGTGACATCTTTCCAGGCTAGGAGACTGACGAATTTCGGGTGGGGCATGCCACGCAGCAGGGGAAGAGCTTCGTGGACGGGTCATGCCTGCCAAGCTAGAGCAGAGCGGCTCAAACTTTGTTCTCTTTGTGTCATCTGGACTTGCTGCCCTCCCTCCTCAGGGGTTCTCAAAAGGAGAGGACACACGTCAGAGTCTTCAGCGACGGTGCGTGTGCATGTGAGTGGGAGGTGAGGGGACAGTTTTCAAACTCTCCCCGGAGAGAAATTCCTACGGGGGCATGCCCCCTCTCCTTCTTCTTTGGGAATCACTGGCTTCCACTGGAGTGGAGGACAGATCAGTCTTTATACCCATCCGTCAACTCATCCTTTTTTTTTTTTTTTT